GCATTCAAATGAATTATGTATTTTCCCTTATTTAATAACAAAGCTTCTTAATTGCCATTATGCCAATTCGTAAAGAATAAATCGTTTTTTGTATCAAGCATTAAATCAAGAGGTCGCAAGAATGGACCTTATTCGTTTGTCAAGATTATGCAGCGGTGTGCACTGAGGAAAATTCGTATGCCTGAGCGAAGTTGCGTTTGTAATTACGTACGAAAATACAGTTTTATGCCGAGGCAAGGAGATAATTGCACGGGGATGAGTTTCTCATTCCGACTGTCGCGCAATTACGCGAATTCTCGTTCAAACTTGAGCGCTAGAACACGCCCGCCTTTGTTACCTCAGGCTTCGTATAACAACTGCATGTCAAAGAGTCTCATGACAATCTTGCCTGTTCGTATGAAAATCATACATCGCGTGTACACAAGAACGGACGCACGTAACGTGCAATTCTATCAGATTTCTAAGATTTGAAGAAATTTGCATACAGACCTAATTAACTTTAATATACGTATGAATTTGTTTTTGATTTCGTACACAATCCAATAGCATATTCCGTTAGACTTTATTTTTTTTAAATTTTCACAATATTGCTCGAATTAACTTTTATTTTGTATTAAAAAAAATTCAAAAGTATGATCAGCAAAAACTCGAATGGATTACACGAAATTTTGTGGTGAATTTATTTTCAACATGCTTCACAAATTTACTTCAAAACCTTATCTTAAAAGAGCTGAGTACATAATAATATACCGTATATCTGGAAAGCTGCAAAGAATCTGTTTAGATAAAGTAACATGCTCACACAGCACTAAACTGTGCTGACTATGGCGATTGTAATATCATGTATATACACGAAACGTACAGCGGGCATTTCTTTCTTGATTGCCTATAACTTAAATTTAATAGAATTTTATAGAAAGTTCAAGCAGATTTAATTCAAGAGAGAAATAAATAATTTTTTATTCAAATTCGTTAAGTAGAAACAGAAAGTTATTTGCAAAGAAAATTGAAAAATCATCAAATTCATATTTTTTACAAGAAGAGCAAAGCAAGCAGCGGCAAATTAAAGAAAGAAAATATCTAAGATAATAATATGGTAAATCGCACACGAATGTTTTGTCACAGGTGAGTATACCGGTGCCGGCACAAAAGAGCAACTTGAAGGCAAGCTTGTCGGTGAACGGGGATGGACAATCGGGAGGCCAGAATGTACCACCGCGATGCCGAGCGCCCAGCGTCGGCATCGACGTCGACATGGTGTCGGAGTTTGATCCCTCGTCGTCGGATAGCGGTGTGGTGTCGAGATGCGCGGTGGTAAAACCGCTCAAGCTACGGCTGTGTCAACCGATCTTTGGCCGTAAGCACGTAGGTAAGTTGAAGAGGGAACACGGCGACGGGGGGCGACACGCGGGCAAAGACGAGTCCGGCGGCGACGGCAAGACGATGAAGCAGCGCGATCCGGAAAGAGAGAAGAGGAGAATAGCGAGAAAGAAGGAGAAACGCGCGACGATGATACTGGGCTTCATAATGGGCAGCTTTATCGCTTGTTGGTTACCCTTCTTTGTCCTCTACATCGTCAAACCCCTCTTCCCTGACTTCGATATACCCTCGCAGGCCTTCGTAATCGCTTTCTGGCTCGGCTATACAAACTCGGCGCTGAACCCCTTCATCTACACGGTCTTTAACAAGGACTTCCGCCGTGCTTTTCGTCGAATATTGTTTAAATGAGCAATACAGTATAGCGTCGACCAAGAGGGACGCTAGCGATAACCACATATATTCCGCCCTCGGGTATGCGAATAAGTACCCCGATAGTACCCCGAGGATGACTTCTCGATCGCGAGTCGCGCGATAGCCGATCCGATTTCCTCGAGTTATTCTCAAGGGAAACTTTAATTATAAGAGGAACGCGTTTTTCACACAGTGTCGCGAAAACACTTGCGAAAGATGGAATCGCGGAAATACGCGGGGAGTTGGCGACGACAAGACGAGAAGTTAGCATTTCAGACGAAAGAACTTTTCCAGTCGATTTTTTCGGAATACAAAGCGAGCGCTGGAAACTGCGGAATCGCACGTGCGAAGAATGTTCAGAGACGAGGCACGTCCCCGAGTTTGTCTATTCCTTCGGGATTGTTGTTATCTTCCAAAAAGAAAAAAAAATCGAAAACTCCCCTTGCGATCGTCAAATCAAATCGTGTAACGTATTACCCTGAAAAAAACGAACATGCTAGAAAAGAATAACCATAATTGACCCCAGGGAAGAAATTTTAAAAGAAATTGTCAAAACTTTCAAGAAAATCTTTTTCTTTCTACGTTACAAAATGACATAGAGCGAGCAAAGAAACGAGAAATCTCGAATTTCTATCGAGAGATAAGATCATTAGGAGACTTGATCACTCTAGGAGGAACATCCGTTAAATTATCGAGCTCTCCGTAACGAGTAAGATCGGAACTGCTACCTTTACACAACCGATACGAACTTTGTACACGTGCTGCATATGACGAAGTACGCTGTTTGCTTGGCTGGCCAAGGGAACCACACGATCCGCCGAGTGTGGATTACTACTCTTGAGTTTATGACATACCTTAACAAAAACGAGTCACTTCGAAGACCAAGAGGCAGCATATCGCTCCTTCCTCCATCTCCGCGCATATTTTTTTACTGGCCATTCTTCTTTCATAAAAGAGTAGAGAATAGCGGTGAAAAACCGTGAAAAAAGCGTAGCAGTGCCGGCTAATACGGATGGGAAACACTATTTCCGTGCCTAATCTCTTGGTCACGTTTACGAAAGGCATGACAATCCAAAGTTGCGTATACGTATACGTATGCAACCGTTGCATGCAGGCGCTTGCGTAAATATACTCGGTCGAGTTGCAAATTCCAGGTTGCGCGGTTGCGCGCCACCTGAGTATAACGCGATCGGTTATCGCGGAAGAGAATGCATAATCGCGCGCAGGATGCAATTTGGAGGGCATTCGATAATGCGCACGCATCGTTGTACGCGCGACAACGTACGGCAGTGAGGAGAATAACGACGTTCGAAGGAGGAAGGAGACTACCCTACGAACACCGTGACCGCTCGGCCACGTGAACACCAGTTAGTATCGAAGATCGCGTCGCGGCAGATCTACTGACAAATAAATGAAGAATGCGAGAGGATATAAAATATGTTTCCTACTAATTAGATAATCGTGCGTCTATAAGTCGTGAGTCTGTAAAAGGGCTCCTCCCTAAACGTCCGGCGTTTCAATCGTGAGAGTCTTCTGATGTTACTTTTAACGAAGGATTACGCATATATAGGATATTTAATAATTCTGTCACGTACGTGTAGTAGGGTGTATGGGTGCGTGTAGGATGCTGCTGGTGCGCGCATATGTGGTGTGTTCATACAGTTCTCTTCGTACAAAAGCAAAAAAGATTTTCTTTCACCAGGCAGATTCTTCTGTTGCAGCCTAATTATACAGCAATAATCATCAGTCTTTCGTTCGTTCGAAAATTCGAACATTCATTTGAACGAAATATCGCGAAAGGGTAAATCGGCGCGAAACGATCAATCGCAGATTGTGCTCTCGATTACACGTTGTCCGTATGTGCGTATGTGCGTATGTGCGAACGCGAGCGTACGCACGCTGTCCAATGTGCGATGAATAATCACTTTGCGCGTCGCAGGGTCCAAAATTAAATGCAAATCTAGATGAAGATAAAAAAAAGCCATATATGTACATACCGGTATCCCATTACTCAAATTTATTTTCCGTCATTAACAAAAATTTTTTGATCAGCGCGTTAATCATAATTCACTTTGGTTATATTTGCTCGATACACAGCGAATGTATTCTATACCGATGTGACCGATGTGTAACGCACAATATCGGAAAAGCGCAGCGCAACGAACGACGAAACTGATCGAAAGCCAGCGTTATTTCTCGAAGAGGTATAGAATAGATCCGCCAATTAGTGAGATCGCTTCTAAGACAGAAATATTATTTCCGTAAGGATTTCCGGAAATCCCGTATCTGCCAGCAAACAGATGCTCCTACGAACGAGACTCTCGCGAAATGATCATACGCGGAAAGGGAATGTCGCGAGATTGAAAAGAGGAGAGAACGACGTATCGCACACCTGTGCTCGCCATTCCGCGGAAACACAACCGGGTGACAATATTCCTCATTTCGTTTCATTAAATCACCGAGATCTTCGCAGCACGTTCTTCCAGAGAGTCATAATGCGAGATTCCGGGACTTTCTTCTCCCAAAATTTGTGAAGCGACAGTCTCAGCTCGCTCCTCTTGGCCGATTTTGGGTGCGTTTCATCTTGTGACGCGAGAGAGAGAGAGAGAGAGAGAGAGAGAGAGAAGAAATAAGTAAAACT